AGTGGGGTGGGGGGAGTCCACACCGGGGCTGCTTCGTGCCCCTGCCAGTACCCCCAGAGCGGGGAAGAGGAGGAGGTGTTGCCAGTGGTGCAGGCAGCGATGCTCTTACCCATCAGGTGGCTCACAGAGTCATCCTTGACTGCATCCAGGCCCTTCTTGTCCCAGACGTAGCGGGCACCCTGCCAGTGAAAACACAGCCAGTGCCAACGGCGTGTGCCTCATGCCTGGTGTCACGTCCCCTCCACTCCGGTGCAGTACCTGCTTGGCACTCAGCCATTTGGCAATCAAGTCCACGCCGTCCTTCCTGGTGCCATTCTGAGCTGGGTCCTCTGGGTACTCAGGGTCCGGGGTCCGCTTGGGTGTCATGTATATCCGCCCGCCGCCCAGGATCACCTGCCGGGGAGCTCAGCAGACCCTCCCAAGGTCGCTGATGTCCCCTCCCTCCCATGCCCGCTCCCCAGCTCACGTTGATGTCTGTGTTGTGCACCAGCTGGTAGGCGATGTCCTTGCAGCCATCCCTCAATGCCTCCTTGGGCATGTTGGCGTCGGCATACCAGCTCCGGCTGGCCGAGTGGGCATAGGCTGCCCCGGGGGACGCGTGCTGCACCCGCGTGGTCGTCACGATGCCCACCGACTTTCCTGCAGCATGGGCAAGGGTTTACGGGGACCCCATCCGGCCTTGCATGGCACAGGAAGGCCGTACCATGCCGGGCTCTCCGGTGGGGTTGCTTGCTGCCCCGTACCCGCCAGCCTGGCCCGGTGCAGGATGGAGTCCACCTCGTTGCCAAAGGTGGTGCGGCATTTGCCATAGACGGCTGCTCCGCTCAGCCCCAGCGTCTTGGCATTGGCCTTCACCCCGCAGAGATAGGCTGTGCCCGTGCCAGCGCTGTCGGGCACCTGCTGGTCGATGGTGTAGGTCTGGAAGCAAGCGGGGGTCAGAGGGGTTTCAGGCAGGGGCAGCAGGGCTGCCCCCCCTCCCCAGTGCTGCCCCACTCACCTTGGCCAGGGCCACGTGGGGAAAGGTCTCCATGGCCAAGACACTCTCCTCGCCTGAGCCGCCAGCCAGCTGCCCCTTGTAGATCCGAGCCGCTGACATGGTGGGCAGCCCCATGCCTGCAGGCACGGCAGAGCCACAGGGTGGCAAGTGGCCAGGACCAGAGACAGTCCTGCCCTCCCCGGGTATTGCTGGGGGCCGGCTCGGGAGGAAGGGACCTGCACCAGCCCCATCTTCTCACCAGCCACGTCCCCTGGCTGCTGTGGAGCTGCAGGGCCTGGGTGGGACCCAGGGGACTCACCGTCTCCCACGAAGAGGATGATGTTTTTGGCTCGCTGTGTCGCCGGCTGCAATGCCAGCGCCAACTCCAACCTCCTCCTGGCCCCTTCGTTCCAGTAGCCCGGGGTCTTCTCTGCCTCTGGAGTTGAGAGCAGTGCCGGGGGTGTGTGGGGGCACTGGGCACCCTGAGCATCCCCAGGGGCAACCCCCCTGGGGACCAGGGTGGCCATTTCCACCCAATACACATTTAGCTGCTCTGAGTCCCCTCCATGCGGGCCTTGGAGGGGCCAGGAGCCCTTTGGGGATCAGCCCGGTCTTTGGCAACCCCAGGATTGCCCAGCGCCCATCTGCAGAGCGGGAAACTGAGGCACAGTTTGGCAGGGAAGTTCCTTGTGCCTCTCGGCAGAGGGGATGAGGTGCCCGAGCATCAGCCCCCTGCGGCGAGCGTGCCATGTCTGGGTAACCGCGGCTGGCTGCGGCTATTGAGATGCTTGATCCACAGCCACTGCCAGGGGGTGAGGGGGCAGCAGGGTTGGGGAGGACGGGGACAGGACCTGCTTTGGTGGGGGCTGAGACAAACCCATTCAAAGGTTGGGGTCTCAAACCACCCTGAGGTGGCCAGCAGGTTTTGCCTTTGCTGGTATCCCATGGGGAAGTGACAGGGTCCCCGGAGACCCTCAGGGAAGTGGCACCAGCCCCAACGCCCCCCACCAAGGGGTCCTACCCACCCTGTCCCACACATCCCCTGTCACCTGAGGCTGCAGCAGCGAGCTGGGTGAGGAAGCAGAGGAGAAGGCAGGTTCCAGGGGAGAGCAGCCACCCCATGCTGCCCATTCCCTTCCCGAATGCCGCCTGCATCCAGGGCGAGGGGACAGCCCTTTATGGCCCTTCCCTGTCCCACCGGAGGGCTGAGCCCCCGCCGCAGGTGAGACGATGGGCTGATAACATTCAGGGACTATCTCCCAGCCCTGCCCAAGGCCCTCCCAGTGCTCCCAGCCCCCCCCCCGGGGCCATTCCTGCCCCCCACCAGCAAGGGAGGACCTCCAGCCTGTCCCTGGGGACCAGGGCACCTGGTGGCCCCCAGCTCCCACGGGGACGGCTGCCTGCTGGACCCCGGGGAGCGGCAGGGAGGGCACAGGGCAAAGGGCTGTTTTTGCAGACAGGCTGAGCTGGGCTGGGCTGGATTTGCCTTGTTTCCCCTGAGACAAACCCAAGAAGGGGGACACCAGGCTGAGGGGTAGATGGAAGACATCTTGCCTTTGGTGTCAGTGTCCTCAGGTCCCCTCTCCTAAGGGACACAGCCACATGCTGCCTGTCAGGCCCTGGGGCAGCCCGTGCCGGTGCACCCACGCAGCAAGGTACCCGCTGCGGGTAGGGAACAGCCCCACGTCCCCAGCACCTGGTGAGGAGCAGGAGACCCAGGGAGGAACAGGCTGCTCCAACCCTCTCCCACATCCAAAGATGACGTCCACACATGGTCGCACCAGACCGTCTGGAAGGACGCCGCCAGCAGTGCAACCCCTGGGACCGGGGGTGACCCTGATGGCATTCACAGCTCGCCAGCTCCTGGGGAGGACGTTGTACCCAGCCCTGACCCATTCCAGGGCCTGATCCCCCATCCTGAGCTGGGCAGCCTGGGTTTGCCCAGCTCCTGGCTCCTGCAAAGGGCAGATGGGTCCATGCCAGGGCCACAT